ATAAAACGAAGCAGCAACTTAAACAACTTACATTGAAAAGAAAATGTTTAATAAAGTAAGCAAATAAATATTAAGCTCTTTTTTTTTGTAAATTTTGATACCCTTTAGATCATAATTGTTCTTTATTTCATAAATTACGGTTTCATATTTTTAATTTTAGAATTTCTGCATGCCATCTTACGAGATTTAAACTGATGATCTATAATCCGGAAAAATCGATAATCCAGAATCGCCGAAGTCCCGACGAGTCCGGATTAACGACTTTTGACTGTATTAAGAAACAAGGTGAAATTACAATTTAACTATGTTGTTAGATGGATTCATCATATGCTTAAAATTAACAGCAAGCATATTATATGATTAGAATTTATTACAATAGAAATTCAGAAATAATTTGACAGCTGCTTTTAGAATGTTTTGATTTTCAATATACAGTACAAAGTCCGTAATCCAGACTCGTCGGGACCATTTGCGATTCCGGATTAGGGGTTTTTCCGGATTACAGTTCAATTTAAATCTGGTAAGATGGCATGCAGAAACTATACAATTAAAAATATGAAACCGTAATTTATGAAATAAAAAGCAATTATGATCTAATGGGTATAAAATTTTACAAAAAAACTTAATATTTATTTGTTTACTTTATTAAACATTCCTTTCAACGCGCGCATGCGTAACATATGCGCATTCTGTACACGCATGCGTAAAGTTTGCGGCTTTGAGTTCCGCATTATAGATCATTCCGGATAATGGACGTCCGGATTACATACTTCGTACTGTACTATGATGATACTTCTAGCTTCAGTTAGTTCATCTCTAATTTATATTATTGCTAGTTTATGTTACCAATGACTTACAAAATTAAATATAAAAACACTAATCAGAAAATTTTAAAATATATGGCTAGCACGCTATGGAAGTGAATTTTCTGCACTCTGTAGTTGCCATCAAGATGAAATTAAAACCTCATAACTTCTAAATATTAAAATAAAGTAAAACAGCTTGTCTTTACTTCAGTAGCTTTTTCATCTTCAACTTCCTTAATGTGAATACACTTCCCTTAATTACAATACGAAAACGCATGCAGATTGTTAGAAAAAAATGTTGAGTAAAAAAAAAAAAAGAAAAACATGCCTTTACTTCGTGAAAACAAAATGGCGTCCAAACAAAAACTAGCAGGTTGCTGTAGCAGGGTTGGTCACCAAATTTCCGCCAAGTTGCCATAATCCAAAGAATAACAGAGTTCCTTTGAAATTCCACCACGAAGGTTATTATTATTATGTATTAATATTAATACAGTCAAAAGTCATTAATCTGGACTCGTCGGGACTTCGGCGATTCCGGTTTATAGATCATCAGTTCAAATCTGGTAAGGTGGCATGCAGAAATTACAAAATTAAAAATATGACCTCGTAATTTATGAAATAAAGAACAATTATGATCTAAAAGAAAAAGCTTAATATTTATTTGTTTACTTTATTAAACATTTCTTTTCAATGTAAGTTGTTTAAGTTGCTTCGTTCATGTGCTAATACTTTCTCTTTATTCTATTAAAACAGAACATAATTTTTAATTAGTTACAAAGTTTCGCTGTTGTTAAAGTCCTATAATTGCTGTGTTGAGAATACCGACTAATTTGTCAATCGAAATTTTTTCGTTTTCAATAACCTCTGGGTCACTTTCTTCACTATCGGAAGCGAATTATAATGACGAGGAACTTGATTTAAATCATATCACAGACAGAGAACATTGAGATGAAATACTACATTTAGTAAGGAATTATAAGCCAAATAGAATAAAAACATCTGCCCTGAAGATAAGAATAGTGCTGACAAATCAACTTCCAATTCATTGCACGCCGCCGCGGCGTTAAAGATAAACAAAGTTTAGATAAACAAATGTTTAAGTTTAGATAAACAAAGAATATGCCTTTATCTATTTTTTGTTTAATGGACTGCGAAAGATACTTTCGCTTTGTATGTCCTTTACATATTAGTAAATATATATCGGAAATTCTATTTGACATAATCGAAAGTTCAAGCTTACTTTTATAAAATTGCTCTAACAGTCTGAAAAAAATAATAAGCCGGATGCAATTCGAAGATGAAGGAACAACGCAATCTGCAACATTAACTGAATTAGATAATTTTAGCTTAGCTTATACCATCCGTTACACATTAAACGCGCATGCGCAGACACATATTCGCAGCCGTAAAGGTCTTATGCGCACTCGTAAACGCCTATGCGCATGCGTGAACGCGACGCATGCGCAGAAAGTTTGTAGCTTTGAGGTCCAGATTATGGGTGTCCGAATTAACGACTTTTGACTGTAATATAATAAACTTTGATCTTAATTTTTATAATCCTTAACTGAAAAAAATCCTTAAAATTGTTTCTAATGTAATTAATGAAAACTTGTGAAAATATTTCATTCAAATTAAACCGTTCTGTGAAAAGTACAGTCAAAAGTCTTTAATCCGGACCTCCACAATCCAGAATTATCTATAATCCGGACCTCAAAGCTACAAATTTTCTGCACATGTGTACAACGCATACTGCATTTACACATGCACATAATACTGCGTTTATGCATGCGCGTTTAATGTATAACGAACGGCATAAGCTAAGGCTAAAATCATCTAATTATCTATTTCAGTTAATGATGCAGACTTGCATTGATCCTTAATCTTTTAACTGGATCTGGCTTATTATTTTTTGCAGACTGTTAGAGCAATTTTATAAAAAGTAAGCTTGAACTTTCGATTATGTCAAAAAGAATTTCCGATTCTGGAGCTGCCAAAGGATCTACAAAGCGAAAGCATGTTTCGATGTCCATCAAACAAAAAGTGGAATTGCTGCAAAAAAATGGATAAAGGCCTTTGTTTCTCTAACCATTCCGAAATCTGTTTATCAATTTCACTGCTCTACGGGGGAAGGGGGGGAGTCGCGGCACGCAATGAACTGGAAGTTGATCTGTCAGCACTATCCTTTTCTTCAGGGCAGATGTTTTTATTTTATTCGGCTTATAACTCTTTACTAAATGTAGTATTTCATCTCGATGTACTCCATCTTTCATATGATTAAAATCAAATCCCTCGTCATTATAAATATCACGAATACACATTAAATAGTTTTCTGGTTGCAATTTTCTAATTTCGACTATGTGTAATACAGTCAAAAGTCATTAATCCGGACTCGTAGGGACTTCGGCGATTCCGGATTATAGATCATCAATTTAAATCTCGTAAGATGGCATGCAGAAATTCTAAAATTAAAAATATGAAACCATAAGTTATGAAATAAAGAACAATTATGATCTAAAGGATATCAAAATTTACAAAAAAAAAAAAAAGCTTAATATTTATTTTCTTACTTTATTAAACATTTCTTTCAATGTAAGTTGTTTAAGTTGCTTCGTTTTATGTGATAATACTTTTTCTTTAATTCTATAAACAGATATAATTTCTTGTTCAGTTACAAAGTTCTGCTGTTCAAGTCCCGTAATTGCTATGCCGAGAATACCGACTAACTTGTCAATCGAAATATTTTCCTTTTCCCTAACCTCTCTGTCACCTTCTTCATGTCTTTATCCATTTTTTGCAGCAATTCCACTTTTTGTTTGATGGACATCGAAACATACTTTTGTTTTGTAGATCCTTTAGGAGCTCCAGTATCGGAAATTCTATTTGACATAATCAAAAGTTCAAGTTTACTTTTATGAAATTGCTCTTACAGTCTGCAAAAACTAATAAGCCAGATCCAATTCGAATATTAAGAAACAACGCAATCATCAATATTAGCTGAAATAGATAATTAGATAAGTTTAGCTTATACCGTCCGGTATACATAAAACGCGCGTGCAAAAACGTATTCTGCGCTTGCGCACACGCATATGCACAGTCGTAAAGGTCTTATGCGCACGCGTAAACGCCTATGCGCATGCGTCAACGCGGTGCATGCACAGAAAGTTTTTAGCTTTGAGGTCCGGATTATGGGTGTCCGAATTAACGACTTTTGACTGTATACGCTTTACGCATGCGTGCGTTGAAAGAAATGTTTAATAAAGTAAACAAATAAATATTAAGCATTATTTTGTAAAGTTTGATACCCTTCAGATCATAATTGCTTTTTATTTCATAAATTACGGTTTCATATTTTTTATTTTATAATTTCTGAATACCATCTTACCAGATTTAAACTAATGATCCATAATCTAGAAAAACCGATAATCTGGAATCGCCGAAGTCTCGACGAGTCCGGATTAAAGACATTTGACTGTATAGCATTTAATTTCATTCAGAGTAAAATGTTGTTTGAAAATGTATTCTTTTCACATACGTAGAACTCTGAAATATTTTAGAAAAGAAAAGACACACTGATATGTACATTTACGAAGTAATTACACAATATTTACATCCAATCATGTCAAAACTTATTAATCTTAATAGTAAGTCACTAAACGTTTTGGTCGCCATGAAGGGATTACCAGTGTTTCGAAGATGTGTGTGGGGAAAACCAGTTAGGGTCTCTCCTTCTTACTTCCTACATCAATGGATTTAGGTTAGGATAGGTTATTTGAATATGACAAAAGCGACATGGCTTATCTTTGGACATTCTCATTATTTAATGCGTAACTACTGAAAGGTTCACTTTTGATGAGGAAGCGAAAAATGTCAGTGTGCAGTGGTAAAGAAGATACCACAAATGGCACAAAATGTGCAATTCAGTATAAAAAATTTATAATTAGACAGTAGAGGGAATGTAAAACCCTTAAATCCACCTGATTCTGATTATTGATCAGTCTAAGGTTTTTCAGTCAGCCTAAGAAGATATTGCTTTAAATCTCTCACTCGTAGGTTGGCTTGTTATATGTTGAGGATAAAATATTGCTTTAGAGCAACATTCCTTTAAAATCATCTAGGCATCTCACAGCCATACTCATCCTGCTTAAATGAAATATTTTTAATTCTCATCCTCCTTAATGAAGGACATGGTTTATAGAAACAAATAAATGGTTTATTAAGCATTTAGAATAAACAACAAATTACATACCTGATTTAATGAGGTTATTTTACAGCATAGACAAATCCTTATTGCATGTATAATAATGCTTTTTACTAAGAAAGTACAAGTTTCTTTAAATTCTTCTTCCTACTGAACAAGTTATTATATAACATGACTTATTCTCTGCTATGTGGATATGAACATTCTTGTGTAAACTCTGATTTTGACATCCTATATATCTCGTACACACAAAGTTTCTCTCTTGTGGGAATATGCAAAAGAGTGTTTAAATGAAATGTCTAATTCTCCACCCAACAAGGCCATACTTTATGGCTTCTTGTGGCATCACTGAATGCATATATGTGCATCTTGAAATATGTCCACGAAATCAAATTAGTATATTAAAAAACAGCATTCTGGTATTTTAATTTATAATACCAGAATGCTGTTTTATTAATTTTAATTAAAAATACTAAAAAATTATTTTAATTTTAAATAAATAATTCTCATTATAGTTTTCAGGAATTTCTGGTTTTAGACTCAAAATCTTGTGTTCAAAGAGTTAAATGCCATTTTAACACATAGCATAATCAAGGTTTATCGCCTGTGTGCATACGCATATGTTTGTTTAACATATCTTTACGAGCGAATGATTTTTGACATACCTCACAGACATGAGGTTTCTTTCCAGTGTGAATACGCAAATGTCTCCTTAGAGAAGCAATCTGTCGAAATGATTTTTTACACACTTCACATGGATAAGGTTTATCTCCTGTGTGAATAAACATATGCTCTTTTAAAGAACCTTTACGAAGAAATGATTTGTTGCATATTTCACACACATTCTCTCCTGTGTGAACAAACATATGCTCCCTTAAATAACCTTTATACAGAAATGATTCGTTGCATATTTCACACACATAAGGTTTCTCGCCTGTGTGGACACGCATATGTGCATTTAACTCCCACTTCGATCTAAATGATTTGTTACATACATCACACACATAAGGTTTCTCTCCTGTGTGGATAAGCATATGCAAGTTTAATTCCCATTTCTGTCTATATGCTTTCTTACATACTTCACAATCAAAAGGTTTCTCTCCTGTGTGAAAAAGCATATGCCTATTTAAATCACTCTTCATTCTAAATGACTTCCTACATATTTCACACACATGAGGCTTCTCTCCTGTGTGAAGAAACATATGGTTGTTTAAAGCGGGCTTTTGAGTAAATGACTTATTACATACCTTACATACATGAAGTTTCTCTCCTGTGTGAATCATCATATGCACTTTTAAATTGCACTTATAACTAAATGATTTATTACATACTTCACATACATAAGGTTCCTTTCCCAGGCGTCTAGGCATACGGCGAATTATATACCTCTTTTGAGTAAAAGACTTGTTATGTGCCTCACCCACATTAAGTTCCTGCCGTGTATGAAAAAGCACATGGGTTTTTAAATTGCCTTTTCGACTAAATGATTTGTTACATAATTCACACACATGGGGTTTCTCCCCTGTATGAATAAGCATATGCCTAGTTAAATCACCCTTGTATCTAAATGACTGGTTACAGACCTCACATGCATGAGGTTTCTCTTCTGTGTGAATAAGCATATGCTTGAGCAAACTACCCTTATGGGTAAATGATTTGTTACACACCTCACAGACATGAGGTTTATGCAGCGTGTGTGTAAACATTAGCTTGTTCGAAGTATTGTTTGATTCAAATGATTGATTGTGCACCTCACACATCACATTTCTGTCCTGCATGGATATGAATTTCATGCATTTAAAATATCGCTTTCTGAAAATGATCTGTTATGTAGCTCCCAGTCATGAAGTTTATCTGTTATACAAAGTGTTCTATATATACATATAAGGGTACATTGATATCATATAACTTGCTTCATATGTCATGATGATATTTTTATTTTGCATAGATTAACAGGGATTGATTAATAGAAATTTCACCCTGTGGTTGTTAGGATTTCTGGAAATAAATTTCACAATGCATGCTCAAGGTGGCATATGACTGCTATTTGAATTGTAACCACGTGCATCAGCTGTATGTAAAGTTTGAATGGAGAGAATTGCAGCATCCAGATATTATGATGAACTAGCACAACAGCAGTCGAGAAAGCTGCGGTAAACTACTCATGCCAGTCTCTGAGGAGAACAAATGCCTACAAGAATGACCCAGAGTGGATTAATTCAAAAAGTTCCTAATCTAATAACAGGTGTGGCAAGGGAAGCAGAGCTAAATAACCCAATGAAAGTACTATTCAATCAAAATCACAACAGAGTCACCGGTATAATCTTATTTAACATTTCTTTTAATTAATGCCCAGGTGTTATCTTAAAATTTTTTGGTAATGTTAATTCACTAGTTTCTATTACTTATGGTCTGCATTAAATAAGAGTTCATTTGTACAGATTTTGTTTTTATTTAACACAACTTCTTATTAAATGGTTGTTTCTTGCCAATACAACCCGAAATAGTTCTTGGATGCTTCAAGCCAGTATTCAATATCTTGCAAAAATACTTATGTGATTATCTTCATAAAAGCAGCAATACATATTATACAGAAGACTTATCAAGCGAATGATACAAACGTGCCTTAATTTCTAGTAGCACTTCATTAAAAATTTATTATGATACACACATATATTTTTTTCCACGTATATCTTCTTTCGTAGACCTGAAGACAGAAAAACAAAGTAGACAGATGTCTTCTTTTGCACCCACTAAGTCTTTCTGCAACCCATGGGCGAAAAATCAAGCTGCAAGCCGCATGTGTTCGTTACCAAGTAACGGTTACGTCCGTGAATTCGAAACAACGGGTCGGTACTCACAAATTCATTTCGTCTTGCATTTGTCGTATGATGGCATTTATTCGAATACGAATGATGCACTTGCTATTTGAATATGAATGATGCGGTTGCTAACAATACCTATGCCAACTTTGCCTATTCGTCCCAATCAACGCATAGTTTTTAATTGATAATTTCGAATTTTTTTTGGGTTAATTCATCGGGCAAACTCTCGTTTAAATTATGTATTTCAGTCGAAATATTATTTAGTTGTTAATATTTAGGAAGATGAGTAATTTTAGACAGCGTAAAGCGTTATTTTGTATTTTCTTTGGTCTACATTTAGATTTATAGTGCATATTATGTTTGTAAATTGAAAATTTGGATAAGATGGTTTGGATTTAGATGATTATCGATTTTTTTTTTTTAGCTTGCGATAGTGAGGTTTTATTGAATTGAAATATTTATATACTGCACTTAGGTATTGTTTACATAAGAATATGTAGGTTAATACAGGTTCTTTACGACCTAGTACGAAGTAAAAAGCAAGTAAGTATTGTAATTTCGCAAAATATTGGGTATCATATTTGCTTTGGTTAAGATTACGTTTATAAATTGAAAATCTGGATAATTTAGATCTGTAATTCTGTTTCCTTCCCACCTAAGCTTGATTTTTTGCCCACCAGGAGGCAAAGAATTAGCGGGTGCAACATCTGTCTACTCTTTGTGTGTTGTCTGTATGTCAGTTCACGTTTTTAGTTTGAATTAATGAATAAGGAGTTTTGTTAATATATTAATATGAAGTTTTCTGCCTGTGTAGCAAAATACGGTAAAAGTTACAATTTGATATTTGGCGCCAAGATCAGTGCCAGGAAGGCACAATTTCAAGAAATTGCCGCTACACAAAACCAAAACAAGAAGTCAAAGAATTGCACAAACTCTGTGTCCATTTACACATCGACCTGTTTCCACTTAAAAAAAAATCCCAGAACTGCACAAACTAGGCACTGTGCCCTGCCTTAAATTTGTCCATGAACACATCAATCTATTTTCATTTTTAAAAAAATCAGGAAGATAAAACAAAGTTAAAACTGTCATGGTAACCAGAAATGAGGTTTCGTAGCCAAAATTAAAAAATAATTTGTCGGTAATCGAAGGGGCACCCAATTCTACACTAGAGCCCAGAATTCTTCGTAAATTAATTACCGTGAAACTGAATACTATGTAGCACTTTCAAATAAGTAAGTTCTAAACAAATACTGGGTATTAACTGCAGAAATATCGAAACTTAATTTAATTATATTGTGCCTCAAACAATTATATATGGCTTAAACAAGGATGTGAATAGTGCGACGCTTGAAATAAACACGATGTGAAATAAACTGGGAACGAAATTATTGCTTGCTAGATCTTTCTGCAACACAAAATGTACCTTAACGCATGCTGTATTAACCGTACCTTTCTACCTATTTCCTGGCAGGTTTTAGTCCCTGTGTGTTTTGAAGCAGTGAATTAAATAAACATTTTGTTACAAGCTAATATATCGCTTCTATGTGTTGAAACGGTGAAAGTACAAATTTTTGTATAAAGTAATACGAAGTTTTTTTTAACTTCAGAAAAGTATTTTGCATGTTGTGTGCGGATTCTGTGTAATCCGTTTAAATAAGTAAATTCTTTAATCAGTCAAGTGGTAACTAACAAATCTGGAAAAATAAAATTTCATACAGTTGGTGGAGTAACATGATTGCATGGATTCATAATTAAAATTTTATCAGTAATAGAGTGAGAAATAACATTTATGCAAAATATAACACTCATTTTTCATGATGTATTCCCGAAAATCTTGCCGTGAGTGTATCGCCTGCTAAGTATGTGTAGTATTCAATACGTATTGCAATTTTTTAATACTGTGCATTTGGGCAAGATAATTAAAGTTATTGTGAAGCACCCAACAAATACTTTGCTTATAATAAATATATTCAAAACACAGAACAACATTGTAAGGTTTCTGGGTAAAACTGAATATTACGGTCCAGTTTGGCGCGTTTTCAAAAAAATTGCGAAATCGGTTGTTTTCGCGCGTTTTAGAGAATCGCTAACTCATCATATCGCTATATTAGATGGTTGCGAATTTGAATTAAATCTGTAAACAAGCAAAAAATATATCATGTAAACATGCAAAAATATCTAAACCTTCAAACATGTAAAAATATCTAAAACAGGACTTTAAGAAAAACAACGAAAAAGGGGGAAAGTGCAGAATCACCCACTGCTTGGTGCTTTTTTAACAATTGCACATACTTGGTATTCATGTATACATCGACTTATTTTCACTTTAAAAAAATCCCAGAATTGCACAAAAATCGCATTGCGCACTCCCTTGACTCTATCCATGTACACATCGACCTATTTTCACTTAAAAAGACAAAGAAAATTAACAAAAATCCAATTCTTCTTACTCTTGTAAAAAGCGTCAAACAAATAAGTGGGCGATTCTGCACTTTACCCAAAGTATTTGAAAGTTAATAACTATGTATTTTATAGGATCAACAATATTAAAAGTTTTCATAATATCATATACCATTTTTAAGACAGTAGCAAAATGGAGTAAATCGTTTTATCACGAAATTTAAGAAATTATAATGAGCAATAAATGATCGGAAAGCATTGATTCGTATTTAAGCCAGATTTGGCGCAATTTAGCTTCGCTTGGCGACCGGACCGTAATCTCCAGTCTAGCCGGTTTCTGTAGATAAGGAAAAAATTTCATTTCTTTGGACACGTTAAATGTCACGCTGAGAAATAAATTTTTTTAAGCAACTAATACCTGCCGTCCCAACAGAAAGTTCTCTCGTATGTGAGATAACTAACTAATCAGTTAGGTAAAAGGGTGAATTAAATGAGCGTATGCTTGTTCACATAAGACAGAATCCTCATATGCGCGAAATATATAAGATGTTTATGCTAAACGCTAAATTAAACCAGCCTATGGTTATTCACACAGCAGAGAAACCTTATGTGTGTGAGGTAAGTAACAAGTCATTTAGACGAAAGTATGTTTTAAAAAGCTATGTGCTTTCTCACACAGGAAAGAAACCTCATGTATGCGAGGTATGTAATAAGTCATTTAAACTAAACTGTGATCTAAATAAGCATGTTCTTATTCACACAAAAGAGAAACCTTGTGTATGTGAAATGTGTAATAACTCATATAGGCAGAAGTTTGCCTTGAAAAACCATATGTTTATTCACACAGGAGAGAAACCTTATGTGTGTGAGGTATGTAACAAGTCATTTAGACAAAAGTATGATTTAAGCAGGCATCTGCTTATTCACACAGGAGAGAAACCTTGTCTGTGTGAGATATGTAACATGTCATTTTCTCAAAAGTGTACTTTAAATATCCACATGCTTATTCATACTACAGAGAAATCTCATGTATATGAGGTATGTAATGGATCATTTAAACATAAATACCATTTAAAAAGGACATATGCTCACTTACACAGGAGAGAAACCTCATGTGTGTGAGATACTATGTAACAAGCCATTTAGACTAAAGAATGATTTAGAAAGTTGATTGTTTATGCAAATCAACAAGATGAGAAAAAGAAATCTTTTTTTTTTTTTTTTAGATTCATAGAGACATTGCCTAAATATCTATATAATAATGCAGCTTTAGAGACTAAAAGAAGCTGGCCAGATTTTGCCCTTTCTAATTTTGATTTTGATAATCATTTTTAATTTTGATTCAGGCGACATCCTACTTTGCAATTATACTCAACAGATATTTTCAAAACAACACTCTTAATAGAAGTAACTACGTTTAATAAATCATTTTAAATTTTTTCCCCATGGGATTCATTGAAATAACATTGTGTCTATTTTAATCTGGTTTTCTTAAATAATAAATCTCAATATCTTTGTTTAAAAAATTATAACCGTAAATGTTTTTTATCATCATTTATAGACTTAAAATCTAAAGAGAAAAAAAAGTATTGAAA